ACTTGTAACCTATGGTAGAGTAGACGCTGGGAGTTCTGTACGTGATGGTTCGCGAGCCAAAAGACCGCGTGGGGGGGGGGGGGGGGTACTCATGTTTTTTATGCCTGAGACAATTGCCCAAGCGTCCTGGAGCGGACGGAGCATTGTTCGCACAGGGCAACAGGGGGGATGAGCTAGAACGAGATGGTCAGGAAGGTGCGGTTTCCGCGCTGGTTTCGTTCGACTCGTGTTCGGGCCGGGTGCTTCATGCCCGCCGGGCGGAGCAAACGACACGCCAACCTCGCAATCCAGGACAGCGCCAACACCAGTCTTCGCGCCTTAGGAAATTTCCAGCTCGTCTACAGCACAAAGGGAAAAAACAATCCCCGAGCAAAGCACCACGAACAGGACTCGTCAAGATACGCACACCACAGGAGGAACGAGCTGATAACCTGCAATCGCCAAAACTTTCACAACAGAGCACCGTGGCTACATTTCCCCCCGTCAATTCTACTGGTGTGGCGCGCCGTACGAATTATCTGTGCCGTGTTCGCCCTGCCCGGGTCACAAAGAAGAAGACATTTTCGATTCTAACACGAATCCAAATGCCGCAACCAATTTCTTGACCGAAACAAAAAAAAAAAACTCAGCGAAGATGAAGAGACCTCCATCCAAACCGCCATCACTTCTCACCACACCTTACGTCAAAACAACGCCACCACCACCACCACCAACAACTCACTAGGCGCGTCCATGAAGAAACGGTACACCCCCCAGAGGCAGGCGGACTGCGAGTTGGAGCTCTCCTTGCACACCCACTCCAGCGCCTGCAGCGTCGTAGCCGACGGAGCCGTGCCCCCGTCTGCCGTCAGCATGCTCTTGGCCAGCTGGTCCGCGAACACCGCCTGCTTCCGGACGTCGGCCGGCGCCGTTCCCTGCAACCAAGACAGGAAGCTCGGTCCGTCCTGCCGTTGCTGTGGGTGTTGATTTCGTCGTCATCGGCAGCAGCAACAGCAACAGCAGCAGAAGCAATGGTGTTGTTAATTATTGTTCGCGTTAAAAAAAATCGAGGGCAAGCACCGCTCAGAGGGAGAGGAGAGGAACCGTTCCGTGTGACGACCACGAAATGGAGCTCGAATGCTACATGAGTCATACTGTAAGCGATCATTGAAAGTGATGGAAAAAAAAAAAAATGATGGTGTTGCTCGGGTTTTGGTGGGGAGTTTTTATCCCGTTGCTGCTAACGATAAACGTTGTTGTTGACGGCGGCGGCGGCGGCAGCAGCGTTGGTGCCCTCGACTAACTTTGTGCGTAGACACCGCCCCGCTCGCAAAAAAACAAGTCCGAGCCGGTCCAACCAAGGCCGACGTCTCCGTGGCCACAGGCCAACCACCAAGGGGTTCATACGCGCTTGTAGGCCGTGCATATCGATCGCCTTGCGTTTGGTGCACCCATTTCCTCTTCATTCAACCTTGCATCTGGTATGTACATCAGGAACTCCCACATCTTGTAAATTCAGACTTGTAGACTTGTCCTCCTACACGGCAGATGCGCTGTGTGTGTCAGCGCTGATGTATAAATGATGAACCAAAAATAAAAATTAAGAAGACTGGACTACCTTCGACAAACTCCGCCGACTGGCAAACAAACAGCGCCACTCACCGCAAGCTTAGGCTCGAGGATGCTCGTCACCCAAAGGCCGGGGTGAACAGCCCACAGCTGCTCGGCCTCGAGGTACTTGACCGCGTCGGCCTTCTGCGGGAAGAGCTCTGGAAGCGAGAACTTCTGGCTGTCCAACGTTTCCCGCACGCCAAGCGCAGATTCTGTCGACAGCATTTCCTGTTCATGTTCGTTTTTCCGACCAAGGTGAAAGATATGGACCAGAAGATGGGGGGCAGAGAACAACATGACATGACGAGCAAATACAGATCAGATCCATGTCAAATTCCGCAAGATACCCAGCCGTCCATTCAGCTTCGGTGTGATCGTTGCTGCGGCAAGGACCTGCCACACACTTGGCAACTATGATATAATATTGTAGTATCTAAAAAAGAAAAAAACAGGGGGGAGCACCAATAGCACAATGATTGATGCGGCACCCTGATACGCCGCACCACACTTTGGCCAATGAAAAGTCTACATACCTACACTCGACGGAAATCCACCATGCAACTGCGCGCTACCATATATTCTCGAATTCGGCTGATGAAAGAACGACCACCAGAAAAGCACCAGCCATTTATTCTACGCGTGCCCTCCCCCACCCCCCCGCCCCATCTCCCAGCGGAGCCAGCTCCATAGCTCTTTGAAGCACAGTGTCCTCATGCGTGGGCGAAAGTCACGACAGCAGCCGCGCCTCAACACCTCAAGCCGAGACTGGGTTTGTTTCCCGCTTCTTTCCGCCCTTCCAGCACCGTAACGTCGTCACTCCCCCCCCCCCCCGTGACAATCCCATGGGATCCCCCCGGAACCCAAACTCTGTTCGGGGGCCGCGGGGAAATCAAAAACAAGCACGCCCCCCTTCCAAAGGGCCGTGAATATCTTGGGTAGGGGGCCCGAACAGTGCTTCCCGAAGGGCTGCGTGACCAAAGGGAACACCCGCGCCTTCTCCCAGATCAGAAACGCTAAACAGAACCCCAGACGTCTGCTCCAGGGCGCACGGGGTGGGGGGGGGGGGGGGGGGGGGC